CGATGTTCAAGTTGTGAACATCGATGTAGGCACCTGACCGTTGGGGGGAATTTATGGCTAAAACTTTCCTTGTTTGGAGTCAACAGCCAAAACAGCGATGTAGGGGTATTGGACATCGCTGTTGGCATGACCGTTGCTTCCCAATTTTCAAAACCCAAGCCTAGAACAGCGATGTCCAAGCATAGGACATCGCTGTCTGGGTGAATTTCAGCAGATCCAAATTTAATCAAATCCCACAAATTGTGTCAATCACCCATTAAATGTTTTGATCCGTTGGAGCCTATTTTTCCACTATAGAATGGGGTGTTTGGGTCTGTTTTACATATAACATTACTTTACAACTCCTACTCTTTCATTGCAAATCATTCATCCATTATTCATAGGTTTTTGAGAGCCATTTTTGTGAAGCTTGTGTTGTGTTCTTGAGCGTTTTTAGTTACTCATTATCCACTCTAAAAGAGAGTATTGTTCTTGAGTATTTTAGTGTTCTTAGACACTTGACAAGAGAAAATATTTCTCTTGTTGTTCGAAGGAAGGGTTGTTTCCTTCGAAGGTTCGTTGAGGTTCGTGTGACTCAAACTCTCAAGTTGTACGGGTTTGTTAAGCACCGTTAAGCTTAACATTGTTAGTGTAGCTCGAGAGAGTCTCTCGGGAGGCTGGATTAGCCACAAGTTGTGGTGAACCAGGGTAAAAACGGTGTGCCTCTTTCTTGCTCTTTACTTTACGCTTTTAATTTTTTATTTCTGCGTCATTTTCGTTTCAAACGCTATTCACCCCCCCTCTAGCGTTGGGACGTTTTTCTAACAGTTACTACACCTACAAGTACTTTTACAATATTTAATTTCTTTCAATTGGTTAAATTAAACTTTTGTCACAATTCGGAAGTGAAAAATCCCCTTGTTTCAGATCCACAAACTCAATGTAACGCCCTGAAATATACTATAGAATTTTATAACATAATTTAAATAAATCGTAATTCTAATTTTTGCTTAAATTAAATAAACATCGAAATGAAAATGTTAAAATAAGATATCTTTTAATCATCAAGTTTAATTTATACTCGTATTGAAGGCCTTGATGGAATGAGTTACGAAGGTTAGGGGTTTGACCGTCCGAGATCGAAAAGATTATAAAGAAAACGAATGAAATACAAATATGATGTAAACATAATATTAGTCAATGACATTTGGGTTTTTTGGATAAGTCTCGAGAAAAGGTGACCAACAGCATATTATGTGTCAAGTTTAGAATATCGTGTGAACCATGATGAGGAAAATAGTCAATACATTTCAATAAATAAATTTAAAGAATTTAGTAATATAATAATAATAATTATAATAATAATAATAATTATAACAACAGCAATAATAATAATTAATAGTAAATAAAAAAAGGGAAAGAACCTAGTTTCCTATTAGGATTGGGAATCGCAGTACTTCGTATTTTTATATACTGATACCAGTCTTCTTCTTCGATACCCACAAGCGACAAACAAGATCGACGGGAGAGACGCTGGAGTTCACTAGAGAAAAATTTGCCAATCAACTCAGCCAGAAACGAGAAGAACATCGCCGGAGTCCTTCGCCGGAAATTTTACGCCCATTCAAAGTGAGTGGTGGTTTCTTTCGTTAAAATTGATTTGTAGATTAGTATTTGTACAATTTGTGAAAAACTGAAATGCTTTCCATTGAATATTCACAACGTATAAATATAAGTTAGTTGGGCCTTAAGCCAAGGCCGAATACATACATGGAAATAAATATATACATGGAAAATAATTACATATATGGAAACATAAATATATATGCTAACACTCTCTCTCAAGTTGGAGCATGGAGATCACAAATGCCCAACTTGGACAGTAAGAAAGAGAAGAGATGTTTGTTCAAAGCTTTAGTAAATAAATCACCAATCTGCAATCGAGTAGGTGTAACACCCCGGCCCCCCCCGGCCGTAAGTGTCCGCTCATAGGATTGTAGACTGGCCCCACAATACTTTTGAGCTCTTCCCATTCCCATCTTGATACGGGGTATTACATTCACCCCCACTTAGGAATGCAATGTCCTCGTTGCATCCTTTTTTTGAACCCATAGATCTTCTCCGCTAGGTGATCTAAGCTCTTTTGGCCCGTCACGGTCGCAGGGTTGCTCTGATACCATTTGTAACACCCCGGCCCCCACCCTGGGGATAAGTGTCCGCTCATAGGATTGTAGACTGGCCCCACAAACCAACACACGTCTTTCCCGCACACTTTGTCCTCACTCGTGCGCGCCCAAGGAAAACTTCCCAGGGGGTCACCCATCCAAGAATTTGCTCCAGGTCAAGCACGCTTAACCTTGGAGTTTCTAGGTGATGAGCTCTCGAAAAGAAGATGCACCTTGATGGTATGAGTAGTACTATCAATCCTTTTGAGCTCTTCCCATTCTCATCTTGATATGGGGTATTACAGTAGGAACATATGCTGTAGCGATTTCACCATGCTGAACACACTCACGAACAATATGGTAGTCGATATCAATATGTTTCATGCGCTCATGGAAGACAGGATCGATTAGCAGCAATAAATAAAGAAGACTTATTATCACAAAACAAACGTGGCGTCATTGGTGGAGTAACACTGAGCGACCCAAGGAGACCCCGTATCCATCTCACCTCTGCACATGCATTAGCCATTGAACGGTATTCAGCTTCCGCTAAGGAGCGTGGCACGGTGGTTTGCTTCTTTGTTTTCCAGGAAACCGGGGAACCACCTAAGAGAATGAAATAGCCAGTAACGAAACGGCAGGTAAGAGGACAAGATGCCTGGTCAGAATCACAATTAGCTGAAAACTGAAGAGAATTGTCACTACGTAGGAGAATTCCCTGGCCAGGATGGCCCTTCAAATAACGAAGGACCCGTTTTGCGGCCTCCATATGATCAAGGCGTGGTGCATGCATAAACTAGGACAGAACATGAACCGAATAAGAGATCTGGCCGAGTGACAGTGAGATATATCAAGCGACCCACAAGGTGTTGATACTGGTCCGGGTCACGAAGCTCAGCACTGGTAGACCGAGCCAGACCGTGGTTCGGTGTGATGGGAGTATTGGCCGGTTTGCAACCCAAGAGGCCAGCTTCATGGAGAATGTTGAGTGCATATTTTCGTTGACAAAGAACAATCCCCGCCGCAGATTGAGCACACTCAGTACCCAAGAAATATGATAAGGGTCCCAAATCCTTCAGATGGAAACAACGATGTAGATAAGACTTAAAAGAGGCACATAGAGTGGAGTTGTTACCTGCAACCAAAATGTCATCAACATAAACCAGGACAACCAAAATATCAGACCCGCAACAATGAATAAAGAGAGTGTGATTAGCATGAGCCCAGGGGCGGAGGAAGGGGGGGTATGCCTGGGCAAGTGCCCCCCGACGAAATTCCGGTGAAGTAGTATTGATGTACCAATCGGCGATGGGAGTGAATGATTTGCCCCCCAGATTTTTCGAAGCTTTCAGGGAATCAGGGTTGTCCGGCAGGCTGCAGCAGGTCGAAGAAGGAGCAATTTGTCGGCGGAGGATAAAGAAAGGATACGGCGTCGTTTTATAAAATGATTAAAAAAAGTCTTTTGGGCTTTGACCCAGCCCAACATTCCAGAAGCCCAATTGCTATAAAAAAATATACTGAGTACTTTAATTGCAGCCACTCAGTGGCTAATTCGGCTTTGCATAAAAAGCACAAGCATAACCTGCATTCAAGTGTTCACACTTCCACCAATCCAATTGCTAAAAAATATACGGAGTACTTTAAAAAAAGATATTTTTATGTTGATTTTTTAAAATATCTTTAATTTGATGAGTAAAAGTTGGATGTGATGAATGAATTATTAGTAAAAAGTTATAATGGATAGGTAGGATAATAATTAGTAAAGGTAAAAGTGATTTTTTAATAGATAAGAAAAAGAGTTTGTAAGACAAAAAAAGAAAAGAGAAAGAATTTAAGAGATTGAGGGAGTATTTCATTAATATCAAATAGTTCTTTTATATTCTTTGATTTTGTTTTCATTCCTTTGTTGAATTAATCAGATTATTATAGTAACAAATACTCTGTAAATGAGATTATTATTCATAAAAATCATTTTCAGAAAACTAGCTTATTTAATACAGAGTATTCAATTACATCGCACCATTTGAATAATTGTTTTGTCTTGAATTAAATAGATGGGTTTGTTTAAGTGGAAGAAATTGGTAAAAGAAATTAATTTTCGTGTAAGTAATTAGAATAATGATTCATTTAAAATTTCAATAATAAAATCCGAAATTAGAAGATTAAAAATTACAAGAATAAAAAAATAGAAGTGAATTTGTAGTTTTTGAATAATCTTCTTCATTCTAATTATTCAAATGTTTGTTTGAGATAAACTTACGCCTTCCGTCTCATAATTGAGTACATTTTTTGCAACTCAATATTTCGATAATTTTTAATTATTTATGTATTTTTATTGATTATTTGATGAAAGATATAAATTTTTATTATTTTTTACATTGTAACCATCAATTTGTAATCTAAATTTGAACGAAGGAAACATTAGTTTTCTTTGGTAATTTCGTAGCCTAGCCCCATACACTATTTTACTCCGGGGTAGTATTTTGTGCCCTCCCGGAATCTGGGTGCTGGCTCCGCCACTGCATGAGCCTAACGAAACTCGTATTTATTTTCAAACTTCAAATTTTTTACTCCTTCAAATTTTTTCTAACATTCTATTTCAACGGAAAAGAATATATTTTTACTTGCCAATTCTTTTGTATCAAAAAAGAGAAAATGATGTTACCATCGATACCTAAATACCACATAAACTAAATTGTGTACCAAATTGGTTTTGCCCCATACTTTCCACTCTAATCACAACTGTCCAACACAATTAACCAAAACACTAACATCACGTATCCGCGTAATAGGCCGGTCTGGACGGCTGCGATCGCAACGTACTACATCAACGGCTGCGCTTCAACAGCACGCAATGCTTGAAGCAGCACCGGAGAAGAATAGCATGTGCATAAAATTTCTTCAATCACTACTACAGTAACAAAGACTGAAAAAATTCATCATTCAGCAGAAGAGGCACAACAGAGCAGGATGAAGATGCCCCGGAGGCCGATCCAAGCCGTGACGACATGGGTTAAGCGGCAACCGCCCAAGGTGAAGGCCTTCCTCGCCGTCATCACCGGCATGGCGGCGCTAGTGTTGCTCCGAGCCATCGTCCACGATCACGACAACCTATTCGTTGCCGCCGAGGCAGTTCACTCCATCGGAATCTGCGTCCTCATCTACAAGCTCATGAAGGAAAAAACTTGCACCGGTAACCTCGCCTGTTCGAATTTTCTCACAATCTCTGAAATTCGTCGATAAATCTAATGAAGGGAATTATTAATTCGTCCATTAGTTCTTAGTTATATAGGTGCCGATTTGATCCTGGAATTATAAGATTGACACTTTTCCTGCTATAGATTAATTTCGGGGATGGATTTAGGGGTTTAACTGAAAACTACGACATTTTATCATTTTAATGTGGTTAGATTTTAACTTCATCAGCCTAAATTGTTGATGAAATCATGTTTATGTTCTGTGGCTCAGTTATGTAGTCTGGTGTAACCTAGGGCTCGTTGACTTTGCCTAATCTTCTTTTTTCAGACTTCAGCATAGGTCATATTGTAACAATCTTACGGCATTTTCAAGAATTCCGGTGGCACTTATTCCCTTATCCTTTCAAGTATACATGTGAACAAGAAGTTGTTTCTAGAAGTTTCCTATTTAGCTTGCAATTTTATCTTAAGGATTAAGAAAGAAAATAAACATCACTGCTCTATTTAAAGGAGTAAGAGGAGAAGATGAACTCCTTCCGTCCATATTTAATGTTGTCATCAGAAAAGGTAAGTGGGATGTTAAGAATTGATGGAGGGAGTAATAATATGATGAATGCCTTCAGGGACTGTAATATAAGAATGAGGAATTGTAAGCTGTTGATATTTATCAATATATGTATATTCCTTAGAATAGATGATTCACAGGCACATGGTTAAAACGGGAATAGTAAGTACACGGATGAGATCAAACGACGATTAACGCGTGGAGTTTAGAAACATCCCGAAAGAGAGTTTAGGGTCCTCGAATGTCGATACAAAAATCGACAATCTGATATAACGTCGAAACAATACCTCATACTGTATGTGTGAGACGAACTGTACCGATGTGACCGATGTTGATTATGGGTTATATATATGATTCGCTTTAATCTAAAATCAAGTTACATGGAGGACAAAGACAATTTTGCGATGTATTATGTTGTAAGTTTCTCAGTATACCCTGCAAAGAAATATGATGTGATTGCCAATATCTTTTAATTAGACAAACAAGAGGAAGTTTGTCCAAGTTTGGCATGACATTTTGTAAATTCTTAACTTTTTGGGACCAAGGGAGTAGTTATGAGTATGACTACCTTATGTGTTACAGCTTGTGAATAAAATTATGTGTTTCTCTCATGCTGATGGTCTGACAAACATTGCTTCTTTGCAGGTGGTCCCTTGTGCTGTTTTAGCAGTTTTAATTCACCCAGGTACATCACATAACTTTGTGAACAAGATTATGTGGGCTTTCTGTGTATACCTAGAAGCAGTTTCTGTGCTACCCCAGCTCCGTGTCATGCAAAATACAAAGGTGTTTGTTTTGTTCTTCTAGAGCATACTTTACTTTTGTTTCCTTGAAGGACGAGGAATGGTTAAAAGTGTTTTATTGGAGCTTGATTCTGACGTGATGATTCAAATATCATTTTCCCTCAGATTGTTGAACCATTTACAGCTCATTATGTATTTGCGCTGGGTGTGGCGAGGTTCTTAAGCTGTGCTCACTGGGTTCTTCAGGTTTGACAGCAAACTTTGAGTTCTTAGTGCATATATTTGGTAGTATGTACCTTTTAGTTTATACAAGCAATAGCATCATACCTACTACTTCCTCCGTCCCATAGAACTTTTCAAAGGCGAAAAAAGATGCGTCCTAAAAATGTGAAATTTTGATATTATCTTCTAATTATGACTCATCTATCCTACACATCATATCGTATTTTATTATAAAGCAAGGACAAAATTAGAAAATAATATCAAAATTACATATTTTTAGGGTGTGTCTTTTTTCGTCTTCGAAAAGTTGGATGGGACGGAGGAAGTATTATAGCTTGTGAATGCTGTATTGGTGTGTTATGACTTATGAGCATAACTAAAGAGCTTCGTAAATGAAATGGATTGGATATAGTTTTATTTCTTTCTAGCATCTAGTGCCTTTTTGCTTGAATATCTACTTTCGTAGTCTGAATGCCACTAACCTTTTTCATGATTTACTATCTCTTTATTTGTTGAAATGATTTGACACAACTGGCCCCCCTCGAGGAAAATTTTTGTACAGAGACTTGAATTAGATCGGGAGGACTTCTTTTTCATAAAAGCCATACATAAAGCAAAATACCAATTTTTTTGTAATATTACAACGTAGGTAATATATTTTTAAATAATGTAAATCATGTGTTAAGCTCTTCGTTAATTCGACTCTTCTTGCAGGTTTTAGATAGTCGCGGCCATCTCCTAGTAGCTCTGGGTCATGGTCTATGGCCTTCTATGGTCCTCATATCTGAAATTGTGCAGACCTTCATCCTAGCTGACTTCTGTTACTACTATGTCAAAAGGTTGGTAACTAAAACTAATTCATCCAGTTTTCCCCCACTTGGTATTAATTATTTGTCTTTCGCCAGAATGATATATTGACGGTTCATGTTTTCCTTGGCAGTGTGTTTGGAGGACAGCTTGTCTTGCGCCTTCCTTCGGGAGTAGTGTGAGTGCCGATTGCCTGATTCTGTTGTGTGTGGCTCTCCCCCTTTTGCTTGTATTCTT